AAGAGATTCACATCGAATGAGGAAGTCATCGCGGAAACCGAGGTGTATTTCGAAGGCTTGGACGTTTCGTACTACAGAAAGGGCATCGAAATGTTGGAAAATCGCTATACCAAGTGTATCGCCCTCGAAGGCAATTATGTTGAGGAATAAATATAACTTTGCACAAAAAACGCTTGTTTTCATTAAAAATCCCGGGATTTTTCAGCCCATGTAGTATACTTCCCTTTCCTTGATCAGCTTCTCTCTCTTTAACCAATCTCCTCTTTTCCACGCACCACTTCCTTACGTATATTATATTATATTTTGCTGGTCTTTTTTTCACTGTCACATTGACGATACATATCTTTTTGAGATCTTGTCAGTGATTTTAATATGTAATATTTTATGATTTATCCACTGGTGTTTCTGTTCGACTCACAAGTACTATTAAAAAACAACTTTTTATTGTTACTTATTAGGTGTTGGAATTAATTCGTAGCGTTTTACAAGTGATGGGAAGTACTTTCATTAATGCTTTTTTTAATGCTCATGTGAAATAAATAACATTGTTTCATTAAAAAACGCTACGAATTAATTCCAACACCTAATATATACAACATACAGTCTGAGATGCCGGGGTGATTTCAAATGAAGCAACAATAATTTTCGCATTCAACGCAGTATTTTGTAATGAAACAAAGAGAATGAAGAATCCTTTCATGACGGATATTTGTGTTAATATAAATATTTTGTAGATGATGAATTAACGACAATTTTATAAGTAATGGTTGATATATTTGATTTACAGTACTGAGGACTAAATATATGGCCGAAACATTTATTAAGATATTGTAAAGTAAAGTAATGTATTATTGCATTGTCACTTTGCGTTGGCTTTTATGCTCCTTCATTGTTTAAATCCAATAAGATTCTTATTGTTTAAATTGTAAACTTTCTTCTTTATCATAATATAGGCAAATAATATTTTACCATAATATAAAAAATGCTTGTATATGTTTCTTAAAAAAAAATTTTTGTTTGTAAAGATATTCTGCATAATATTTATTTTATGGGATATTTAAACGAGTATCTCTCGTTTAAGTTTTTTCTATATTTTATATATGAACTCCATTACCAGAATTTATAAAATTATACGGATGATTGTAATTGTTGAGTATTTGTGTTGTTAGATTCAAATTAATCATATGCTTTCTAACAATCAAATACAATAATTGTACACCCACAATTTCTATTTTTGTTTTATTGATAATGTTTCTAAGTACACATTCAATAAATAATTTTTTTGTTTCACATTCAATTTCACAAAAGATCTATTGTCCAGTTACAAGTTGGTCTTTGAATTTTTGATTTCCAATCTTAGCTTCATCTATTTTCATCACGATATTTTCTTCTCCAATCATCCGTATCATCAATCCGTTCAAGACAAAGTTAACGCTAGATCTACAATAGGAATCATAAATGATCGAATAGTCTTAAGTCGTAGGAAATCGGTCAACCATAGTTGATTATTTTCTTCATATTTCATTGTAATTGGTTAATTTCGTATGACTTAAGATCTCACAATGTGTTCTCAGATCCTGAGACTTCCTTCTCCCTCCCTCTCCCCTTCCTCCTTCCCTCCCCTTTCCCCCCTTCTCTCTCTCTGGCGTGGGATCTCACGTGTTTTGTGATGTAATCTCATGGGATCTTACTATCACATGCTACGGTAGCATATGCTTAGCAATCATGTGAGGAGAGATTACGTAAAGTCCCACGCCAGAGAGAAACAGGTCCCATGTCCCATGATCTGAGAACACTGTCCTTGACAACTCACGATCATCTATGATTCCTATTGTACATTGATCACGTATAAGAGAAATAATTCGGGTTCCAATAAGAAAATATAAAATACTAATTACTTTGATATGAAGATAAATATAAGATAATACTTTGACGCAAAGATAAATATAATAAAAACTAACCTCGCGCAAAAATTTGACTAATCGATCATTGTGATAAATGTAATAGGTAACACCAAATTCTTCCATTAAAAATGTTTGTCGACAAGGGCGTATTGTTAAAAAGTATATATTCAATAAGAATAAATTTATATATTCATTGTAGATGAACATACGAAAACTATGTCTTATATTCAGGATTCTGAATGTAAGAAATATCTGAAGTTACACAATACTTTGTATTGTTTCTTATTTTTATATTTCGTAGTTTTAAACAAGAAGCATATACTTCCGATTTAAATCCAACATTGTTTCACATCATGAATATTTGACACATCCATGAATAATTTGTTTAATCGGGAAATTTAACTTTTTAAATTTAATTATTTAAATTTAACTATTTAAATTGATTAACTTTATTAACTTTATTTAAGTCTTTATCTTCAACAAGACTCAAAAACTTATGTATAATAGTTGCATGTTGAAAGCTGTTTTTTTTTTAATTGACAAGAATGAACGAAATTCATTGACGGTATTTTGAATCTTTATATTAAAACATAGTCATACCAAATACAAGAAAAGTAGCAAAAATTTTTAGTGAACAAAATTTTATTTTATTACAGTTATTGTTCATATCGACGTACTCCCTGTTATAATAATAGTATAAATCATCGTCGCGATATTTGAATGAAATCTGCCATGAGTGATCGACATCGTAGATCGTTGTTTATAAACATTATACGCGTTATACATCGCTCGACGAACCGTAGCTTAGCCATAACAGCGTACGCAACAGATTTTCAAACTAGATTTTCTCGAAAACTAAGCAGAAAATCGAAAAATTTAATTTTATATATTTTTTTACTTTTTTATAAGGAATCTTGTCGTGCCCGCTTTTACATGTTATTCGGCCGGATCCTACATAATCGGAAATAAAATTTAATACTTTAAAGTATCTTATCTCAGAAACTATAAGGGATCGCCACCTAGTTATTAAAGCAAAGTTACTCAGAATCACGATCTTGATAAGATATGTCAAGATCAAGGTTATCGGCGAGATTTAACTTTTTCTTTAATAATTATTCAAATTTATTATCTCATTAATAGTGAAGTATTTAAATATGTTTGAACATCCATTAATGATTTGTCTCTATTTGAATCAAAGTGTTATCAAGGTACTTTTTCTTTTTGCTCCTCAAAGTATAAATTTTCATTGATTTTTACTACAGCGTGAAAAATAAAATTACGTGTGCTTGACTCAGGTAATTACAGCTGCTTGAAGGTGGATTTGATCTTCACGCGAGATCGTTCCTTCTATTTCACTACGGTTTTCATCCCAGGCATTATTCTAGTAACCAGTTCGTTCATCACATTTTGGCTTGAATGGAATGCTGTACCGGCGCGAGTGATGATTGGTAAGTCTACATAATGGAATTTCATAACTATTTAAAAAGAAAAGTATAAGATGTGTATATCTTATTTATATACAAGGTGTCTCACCTAACTCGACCATCTGAAATACTTCCCTTGATTTTTATGATAGGAAAAAATATTTCAGATGAAAATCTCTAATTAGTCTACATATATAAAAGTATTAAGTGATATCAAAAAATCAATAGTTTATGAGATATTTTATACTTTATTTCAACATATATTGACATAAAATGTTAAATAACTCATAAACTAATTTTTTTATAATCGTACCTTAAGACTTTTATGGACAGAATACTATGATGAATTGGTACAAAGAAAATATATAATTTCTTTAAAAAAATATGTGAACAAAATGGATAATTTGTTAAATAAGCAATTATATGTTTCTTTCTACTAATTGATTCATTTCATTATTCTGTTCACAAAAGTATTAAGGAACGATTATTAAAAAATTAATAGTTTACAAGTTATTTAACATTTTATGCCAATATATGCCAAAATAAAATATAAAATATCTCATAAACTAATAGTTTTTTGATATCATTTAATACTTTTATATGCAGAATAATTAGAGGAATCATTGTATAAAAAATATTATACAATTCTATTATAAAAAATGGAGATGACCAGAGTTGTTTTGTTTAAAACTTTTTTTTTAAACAAATGTTTAAAACATGTTTTAAACATCAGATTAAATTAAACATGTTTTTTTTAAAACAATTTGAAACAATTGTTTAAAACATAATTTTTTTTTTTGAAGTGTTTTCAATACTATTTAGTAGAGAAGAAAGTGATACTCCAGTTACATTTTAAACGATAACTTGGTTTACTTAATTAATAATGAATATTTAAGTTTAAAACTTGATATTTACATTCATTAAATGTATCAATTATGTTGTCGATTCTGGACTCAAACTTACAAAATATTTATTACTTAGGACACTATTAATAAAAATGTGGCAACATTGCATAATGGCAAATCGAAGAGAAACATGGATGGTAATGTGGCCTTTCATAAAAAAATAATCTTAAAAAATTAGTTTTGTTTAGAAAACAGTAGTTTGGTTATAAAATAACAAAAAAAGTAGAGTATATGCAGAATATATGCACGTATAAAAATGTATACACATATATATATATAACTTTATGCAATTTTTGCAATAATTAATAAGATATGTATATGTATTGTACATATAACTCTAGCAATTTTCGTAATAATTAATAAGATATTAATTGCTAAAAATTGCTGAAAATTGGTCTTCAATAATTTTTTACTCAAATACTACCAACTTTACAGAAAAAGATAAAAATTATTTATTTTCTTCTCATAGAATTCTACGAATTTTTTCAGAATTTTTTATCTCATCAACTTTTTAGTACTGTATTTTCTGATTTTTATCAATTTAAAAAAAACGGTATTAAAAAATTCCGACAAAATTTTTTAAAAATTCTGAAAGCTTTACAAGAAGAAAATTAACAATTTTTGTCTTTTGCAGTTATACAGCTCATTTTTTATGCAGCTCGGCAGCCTATAAAAATCTACAATAACGTAAATTATATATTAATATTAGAACTACAATTAGTTTTCAAGGAATAATTATTTTGAAATAAATCTCAAAAAAGAAGCCATGAATAATCAATACGCATAAAGGATCACATTAACAAAATGCTATGCTATTGTTTAAATTTGCATAACCTAAAATACATACACCCAGTAAATGAGAATGGATTAAAATGGATTGAAATTTTTTTCTATCCGAATGCGTATTTTAAATAGCGAATACTTTTTTTTTTATTTAATTGGATTCACTTGGATTCAATTGGATGCAATTGGATTGAAAAACTGCATTTCCTATTCAAAATTTTGAATTGAACAGTACAATGTGTGTGTTGTACACAGAAAAAGCTAATATTACTTTTAGATTGAAAGGCATAGAGACATGCTCCATGTAATTCCTATAAATGAATAAAAATGCATTCAGGATTGAAAAGCATTCATTTTAACTTTCGTAAATCAATATTTTAGAAAATCTGAATTCATTTCAATTCATTTCAATCTATTCTCGTTTGCTGGACAGTCAAATAAAATGTTAAATAGCAAACACATTCAAATATACATATAGTATATGTATGTGATACGCTCAAGTTTAAGAAAAATAAAGAAGTAGATGTAATTAAATGTTAAAATGTACCTCAGAAATGATTCAAAATACTTGAAAGTAAAAATGCGTTATAATAAAATATAATAAATATATGTTTAAAAGAAATATGTTTTTTTTGTTTTAAACATGATTTTTTTCTAAAGCTGTTTAAAATATATATAAAACATTAAAAACATGTTTTAAACAAAAAAAACTGAATGTTTTGTTTTTTTTAAATATGTTTGTTATCAATCCTGGAGGTGACCCTTCATATCTTTTTGATGTCTCATCTAGAAGAAAGATACATAACCAAAATATATACCTTTTTAAACAAAATTCCACTTTTATCTGAAACATTTTTTTTCTATCATAAAAACCAAACGAGATATTTCAGATGATCGAGTTAGATGGGACACTCTGTGTCACACACTTACACATAAGCGCGCGTGCTTACAAGCAAATGGGCTGCGCTTAGAGACTTTACCCGAGTGTATCCATGTGTCATTTTATTCTTATTTAACATTCTGTAAATATAAGGGTCCTAATAGCCCTGACAAGAATGTCCTACGGATTTCCTAAAAATATCTCGTTAACTGAACAGAATATTATGTCCGGTAAAAAGTGTTTTATATATAATTATATAAAATTATATAAATATATTATATAATTATATATAAATTTTATATATATTAGGAGTGTGCATTAATTTTAAGGGATTTTTTAGTAAAAATTCGGCTTTATTATAAAAAAATAGTTACAAATTAATCATTCAAAATATTATCCATCGCTAGCTATTACTTTTTTTCATCTTTCTGGTAATAGGTGGATTCCATGTGGAAAGAATGATACTTTTGAGGCTATCCACAAATCAATCCATTTTTTGATATCTTCATAAGAATGGAAGCGCTGCTCAAACAAGCCATGAGTCATCGATCGAAATAGGTGGTAATCGAAAGGAGTAATATCTGGAGAATAAAGCGGATGTGATAGAATACCAGTTAAGCGCTTCTAATGGTTCCTTGATTGGTTTTGCAACATGTGGCCGAGCGTTGTCGTACTGGAAAATCACTTTGTCGTGTCTTTTCACGTAATATGGCGGTTTTTGCTCCAATACTCAGCTCAATTGCATCCATTGTTGTTAGTAGCATTCCCCAGTGATGGTTTCATTGAGTTGGAGCTCATAATATACCCAGCTGATCTTACCAAATACAGAGCATGAGTTTGGCGCCATATTTGGCTTTACCGTCGATGTTGATAGTTCGCTTAGCCTGCACCATGATTTTCTGCGCTTCGGATTATCGTATATTCCATTTTTCATCACCCGTCACGAAACGATGCAAAAACTTTTTCTTTTGTGTCTTTGAAGCAACAATTCGTAGGTTATTTTGCGTCTTTTGACGTCCCTCGGCTTCAACTCGTATAGCACCCAATATTTCCTTGCTTTTGAATTATTACAATGGCCTTCAAATGTCTGAAAATAGTTGATCGATCAATATTTAATGGTTCTGCAAGTTCTTCTTGCGTTTGATTCGGGTCTTGATTCAGTAAAGCTTCCACTTCCTTATCTTCAAATTTTTTCAGCTGGCCTGAACATTCCTTGTCTTCCGTGTCAAAATCACTTTTTTTATAGTATCGGAACCAGTACTCACGTGTTGAAATCGATGGAATATAATTACCATAAACTTCCGACAGTATTCGTTGACTTTCAGTAGCACTTTCCTTCAAATGGAAGCAAAAAAGCAAAGCTTCCCACAAATTGTGTTTTGTTGAACAAAATTCGACATATTCAACGCTCAAAAAAACAATATTGTTTACACTTCGGCAAAATGACACATGCTGAAAACTAAAGCCACATGATGGTGCTTTGAACATGAAGGTAGCAACAATATGATCCGATGCGATAGTACTAATTACGCTATCTCTTGAAAATCCTTTAAAATTAATGCACACTCCCAATAATTATATAAAATTTTATATAATGCTGTAATTCTTATATATATTACAATTGCACTCACAAACGTGATATAATTTCGTCGCCTGTTCACGATCCTGAATCTCTAAAATTTTAAACACGTTTTATCAGTCATATGAGCGCGAGCGTAGCATGGTGGATAGCGCGCAAGTCTACCGTGTTAGGGGACTCGTTCGATCCTCAGCAGATCTAAGAAATTTTCACGCGCACGAAGCTCCTCTGCGGTGGTCAAATACTGGCAAACCACTAAGAGTATGTATTACCAAGAAAAATCTTTCAAACTGCCGTTCAGAACCGGCGTCAAATTGTAAGTCCCGTATGTCTGTGTAACCTTGAACTTTGCATGCGCACCATGAACATATGTACGACAGATAGCCCTGTTTAGGTAAAGAAAGCATTGCACGCTATAAAACCGGGAATAAATAAATACCCAAACAACACACAAAGTGTTGACATTGGACGTCCAAATCTGGTTTTTATTTAGTCCGAACGTCCATGAACTTACTATAGTATGAATGTTTTAAAAATGTACGTTATTCAACGTATAAAATATGTTCACATTTAGATATTTAAAAAATGTTTATCTCATGCAAAAAATTTTTAAATCTGCTCACAACTTTCGCTGATTTGACAAATGAAAATTTTTTAAGTTCTCACGAGGAGTTTTACTTTTGTTAGTATGTACAGACGTATTTTGAACTCATGGACGTCCTTGGACTGTGTTGAAAATTTTCAATGACAAAAAAATCTACCCAAATAACCAAACGTGCGATATCCCACGATACCCTCACAAAAGAACGCTATCATACTATTACTGTACTGCTACGAGATAGTGGTGTACGATGTAACTATATGATAGCAGCATAAA